TCGGCCTGTGCTGTCCAGCTGTATCAGCATGGCTGCCGTCACGTCGTCCCAGATGTATTCGTTGTTGCATTGGCCAAGGATTGCCTTGTGCTCTTGCATGCTGATGTTCGCTAGCTTTAGTAGAAAGTATGTCCGTAGGTCTTCGCTGACTGTCTTGTTCGTTGAAAGTGACTTGAGCCGCTCGTACTCCGTCTCTCGCCTCGATATGTAGTCCTGCACAGACTCCGTTCGATTGCGAAAACCTCGGAAGAAATACTCCTCGAACGCTTGCTGCTTCTGTAGTGGTGCGATTCTCTCGCACGCCTGTCGTACTGTAGTTACACCAGTTTGACTGCAGCAAATGGGTCATTACCTGCTTCGTCCAAAACTGCCTGCGTACTGATCTCAGCCTTCTTACGTGTAAGTGTCCACGCTCGTCTATTTAGAGAATTCTTGAGCTTGATCGCGTAGAGCTTCTTGATTTTCTCCTCGCTCGCGTGGTAGCCGAGGATTGCACGCTCCTCGAACTCCTCGCCGTAGGATGGGTCTCCGTTGTAGTGTACCACGCCTTCCTTGTCAACGAAGAGGGGGCCGTCATTGAACTGCTGCTGCTGCCTGGACGTCATCTTGATGACCGTGATGCTACTTAGCTTGTTTCCGATGTAGTAGCTGTCTTGATCGTTGCTGCTGTAGTTCTGCTGCTCGCCCGGGATGCTGTTGATGCAACGATCCTCGTCCAAGCTGTTGTAGGTAATGATTTTGAGCGTTTTGTCGATCACCGTGATCTGTTGAGCGCAGTGATTAAGCACCGCCAGGATGTAAGTGAGCGCCAGCATATATCTGCACGGCCACTCTGTATGAGATCCTCGTACCGTGGACTGATTCAGCTCACGCTACCAGTGTAAATATTGATCAAAATCTCTCCACCCACAACCTCTTGATGCAAGAAGAAATAGATAGAGTATTGATCTGATCTTATTCCGATGTCAAGCTAGACAGTCGTAGAATGCGTCCACCCTCCCGCCACAGCTGGCGGGTCCAAGCCACAAATGGCAATAGTGAACAAGAGAGTGCAAGCATGAGCGAGCGAGAGCAGCAACATAGATAATTCTAAACATCATCCTATATCTCACATCCTTGCTAATACAACTTTCACACTTGGTGGGGACAGTGGTGGGGACAGTGGGGGCAGTGCGACAATGGTGGGAGCACTGGTGGGGACAGTGGGGACAGTGGTGGGAACAGTGGGGACAGTGGGACAGTGGTGGGGACGGTGGTGGTGGGGACAGTGGTTAGGTCGGTGGACGGTGGCGGGACCCAGGAGTCGTTTGCTGGCGGCGAGTGGTGGAGGGGGGAGGGGCTCGAACCGGTAGTGACCCGGGGCGGGGGGGGAGGAAGGGGTTCGATTAAGTAGTTACCTTCCCTAGTTTTCTAGGGAAGGGGGGGGGTCGAATCGAACCGGTAGTGACCCCCCTCGGTTTTCCGAAGGAGGGGGGTGTTGCGGGGGGGGGGTCAGGGGAAGGGGGGAGGAGGGGGGGGGTTCGAGCATCGAGGGGGGATTTTCGAGGGGGGGGGCGGGGCCTGGGTTTCGGAATAAGAGGGGTGGGGTGGGTGGGAATTTTCCAAAAAGTAAAGCGGCGGTGCATCACGCTCTCTCTCTGGCTTTTCAACGTACGAAGCCGCTAAGCGAACAACTAACGTTCAAAAGGGAGGCGCCGCCCATCCTCGAAACTGCTGCACTCTTCTGAGACGAACGCGCGCGGCGCCACGGCGAGAGCCCCATTGTGAACAAAAAAACTCCACCCCTGAAGCGGCTGCAAACTTTGAAGACGAATGTGCATCGGCGCGAAGGAGGGTGCACCATTCTTATAAGGATCCGTCGCCCATCCTTGAAACTGTTCCTGCAAAGCTTTCAAGACGAATAGGCGCGGCGCTCGAGTCCCGTAGTGTGAACACCGCCCGCCCTTCATCCGCCTGGCCGCCTGGCTGTTGGGGATTGCAAGTTGCAGGGCCATGCGTGGTGAAGCAATCTCAGGCGGAACGACCAGGATGAGTTATCGAGAAGGAAGAAGGATGGCTGAGGAGCTTGGACCATCCCTGGCCAATTAGATTTCCCGCAGGCAAGGCCTTATGCCGCGACCGTGCCACCTTTCTGACCCTCGGGTGGCGGCCTCTTGACATGACGGACCATCCGTCCTGGTCGGCCCTCGTGGCCCCTGCCCAGACACTCGTCGCCCAGGAGCTTCAGAGGCCCCAAGGTGGTGTAGGCTTTGCACGAGACGCAGACGAGCAAAGGAGTCTCGTCATAGCAATCGAACGAAAGGAGCTTGGGGCCACATTCTTTCACCCCCAAAATCGTCGGAAGACCCGCCCCATTACAACCAGAGGACGAGGGGAAGTTATCGAAGACGCCTACGGCGAATCACCGCCGCCCCCTGCCTTTTTGGAAGCGCCTGTGTGGCCGAACACTGAGGCCAGACCTGCCAAGCTATCGGACCATGTGTTCCCCGAATCGGTTTGGAAAGTCTTCGGGGAACACGTGGGCATCTTGAAGGTCATCTTGGCCGTCTGGAGGCCATTTTGACTCTTTCGGGCCTTCTTGGAGGACGTCTTGGAAGACGCCTTGAAGGGCTCTTCGGCCGTCTGGAGGCCATGTTGACCCTTTCGGGCCCTTTTGGAGGACGTCTTGGAGGGCTCTTGGGCCGTCTTGGAGACCATCTTGAGCGTCTTGGAGACCTCTTGGGCCGACTTTGGGGCCTCTTGGGGCCGTGTCTTGGGCCTCTTGGGCGATCTTTGGGGGCACTTGGGCCGTCTCGGGCCGTCGGAAGGCCGAAAAGAAGCAAATGCCACAATCCTTCAAAAACCAATGTGAAATCAATGATTTTGGCCTTTTCGGGCCTTCCTGGAGGCCCTCTTGGAGGCCTCTTGGGCCGTCTTGGGCCATCTTAGGGCCATGTTCGGCCGCCTTGGTGGGCTCCTGGTCCGTCTGACGCCGTCGGAAGCCGTTTGGGGGGCCTCTATGGGCCGACTTGGGGCCCTCGTGGAATGCTCCAGGGCCGTCTTGGAGGCCATCTTGGGCGTCTTAAAGGCCTCCTGTGCCGTCTTGGGGGCCTCTCGGGGCCGTCTTGGGGCCCTCTTGGGCCGTTCTGGGGCCATCTTGGAGGCCTCTTGAGCGATCTTTCGGCGATCTTCGGGGCCTCTTGGGCCGTCTCGGGCCGTCGGAAGGCCGAAAAGAAGCAAATGTCGAAATCCGTCAAAAACCATGGAACATCAAGGTTTTTGGCCTCTTCTGGCCTTCCTGGAGGCCCTCTTGGGGGCCTCTTGGGCCGTCTTGGGCCAGCTTCGAGCCAACTTCGGCCATCTTGGTGGGTTCCTGGTACGTCTGACGCCGTCGGGAGCCGGCTTGGGGGCCTTTCTGGGCCGACTTAGGGCCCTCTTGGGGCGCTTCGGGGCCGTCTTGGAGGCCATCTTGGGCGTCTTGGAGGCCATCGTGGGCGTCTTGAAGGGCTCTTGGGCCGCCTTCGGGCCCTCCTGGGGCCGTCGTGGGAGCCTCTTGGGCTGTCATGGGGCCATCTTGGAGGCCTCTTGGGCGATCTTGCGGCGACCTTTGGGGCCTCTTGGGCCGTCTTGGGCCGTCGGAAAGTCGAAAATGCGCAACTGCCAAAATCCTTCAAGGCCCCTTCGGGCCTTCCTGGAGGACCTCCTGGAGGCCTCTTGGGCCGTCTTGGAGGCCTCTTGGGAGCCTCTTGGGCCGTTTTGGGCCATCTTGAGGCCATCTTAGGCCGTCTTGGGGGCATCTTGGGCCATCTTGGAGGCATCTTGGGGCCATCTTAGCCGTCTTGGAGGTTATCTTAGCCGTCTTGGAGGCCATCCTGGGCCATCTTGGAGCCGTCTGGAACGGAACAACCCTTTGCAACCACCTCTGGGCAAAGTTTCGGCATCCTTCCAGGTGGCCAGCGGGACGGGCCGAAGCCCCAGGGGGAGTTCTTTTGGAAAAAGAACCAAGACCAAAAGCCATATAGTTTGGCACGCCAGGCACCCCAATGGCCTTCGGCCCATCCCGCCACCGTCCTGGGTTGTGGGTATGAAGCCTATTGGATGTTCGTTGGGATCTCGTGCGGGGCGCGTTTTTGAGGCACTTAGGAGGCCATTTGGGGGCCTCTTGGGGCATATGCTGGGCCTCTTGGGAGCCTCTTGGGGCCTCCTCGGGGCCTCTTGGGCGGAAAGCTCGGATATTTGGTTGGTGTTCCCTTTCTTGGGCTACTTTCAGGGCCGCCTTGGGGTGCTGTTGTGATATGGATCGGCGCGCAGCGCCGAGGATACTTTTGCTGTGAGCGCGGCTCGAACAATTGGCGTAGCTCTAAGGCCAAGGGCCCTGAAATGTTTTGTAACCAATACGGCAGCGGGGGACTAAGATGGGAGCAAGCAGCGGGCGAGCGGCGGAAGCGAGCCGGAAGCGGGGATTCGGAGCGAGGGAAGTGTTACTTATCACACTCCTCCTGCGCGGCTCTCGATTGGTGACGCTAGCTGCGCCCTTAGAGAGACGGGCAGATCTCCTCTCGCTTCATTTAACAGGACGAATTATCGAGGTAATTCTGAAACAGCGGCGGCGGCAAAGGCAGGCAAACGGCCTGACACAGCTTGCAGCAGGGGCCCTCGGGGCATTATTGGATATGCTACACAAGCCTGCGAAACAAATTCCCTTCTTACTTGCGGCGACGAAACGCGGCGGGCGCTTGGCAGGCGCGTCCGATCGTGAAGCGACAAGACTCAAAAAAACAGTATTATCTTACACGATATTAAGATCTGAACTCAATGTGGTCGTCACCACTCTTCTAGTAAAACTGTGCGCGCTGAATGAAGCTTCTGCAGTGTGGAGTTACGTGCAGATCTTTGGCCGCTTGTAACACAACAAAGAAAAATAAACGCAGACTTACGTAAATGGAGCCGTGTGTAAAATCTTTTCTGCAATGCGGACTTACATAGACGGAGGTCGCGACAGGCGGCCATCTGGCAACGGCAGCAGAACATTTGCCGGCTCGAACGGCCGCCGTCTGGCCCCCTTTGGGAGCTGCGCGAGCCCAGCAGTCTCCGCCTCGCCGCGCCGCGCCCGCCCCTGCGATGGCAGGAACGAGCCCGGTGTCCGAGGCGGCCGCCCAGGACCTCGGACCCACGATGGTGGAGGAGGGCGTCGCGCCCACGGCTGCCGCGGAAGTGGCGCGGCCTGTGGCAGGCCGCCGCCTCGTGCGCACCGTGCTCGCCGCGGCCACCGTGCTGCTCTTCGGGTCCGCCACGCTGGCCGCGAGTCTGCACCACGCGTGCGGCCTCGGCCTCCGCGTGGACGGCGTGCACGTCTCCGCGCCGGAGGGCGCGGACTCCGCCGAGGTGATGCTCGACGCAGGCTTGGTGCGGCCTGACTGGTCTCCGCACCGCGCCTGGCTCCGGAGCGCCACGTGCCAGCTGCGGATGCGCGACCTGGACGTCGCCGTCGAGGCCCCGGACGCGCAGCATCAGGGCCCGTCGCGCGTCAAGCTCCACGCCCGCACGCGGGTGTTGCCTGCGGGCGCCGCGGCGTCCGCGCCCGGCGGGTGCGAGGTCACGTCCAGCGTGGAGCTTTTCGGCCTCGGCCTGCGCGTGCCGTGGACGGCGTGGCTTCCCGTGGATCTCTCGGGTGCCAAGGCGCCCACTATGTGGATGCAGCGCAGCGGGAGCGTGACGCGGAAGGGCTCCTGGTCGCTGCAGAGCCCCAACGTGACGCTGGAGCAGCCGGCGCTGGTGGGCTGGCGGGTGCCCGCGGGGAGTTTCCCCGAGGCCCTGGATGGCCTGCTCGGGAGGGCGAGCATCAGCCTCGACGCCGCCGTCGCCTACGAGGAGAGCGGGGACCGCTCCGTGCGGCTGACACAGGCGGTCAACGCCAGCCTGGTCATCGAGAGCGACGGCGAGGGCGGCTACTTGGTCTCCGCGCCAGCCCTCGTCACCGGCCACGTGCGCCCCGCCGCCTTCGCGGCCGCCCTCGGGAAGCTGCTCGTCGGCGACTCGCGCGGGGAGCGCGGCGGCGTCCACCGCTCGGTGCGGATGGCCGCGGTGGCGCCGTCGTCGCCGGCGGCGCAGTGCCTGGGCGCCTCCCACGCGGTGGGTTGGCGCAGCCGCAGGGCGTCGGCCGTGCACGACCTGGCGCGCGGCGCGAGGCGGCTGCTGGGCCGCCGGCTGGCAAGGTCGCTGGGGGGCTCCGCCGGCGAGCGGCTGGTGCAGCAGCCGCCGCGGGACGGCCGTCGCCTGACTGGCGAGAGCACCACCGTGACGTTCTCGGAGATGATATACGCAGATGGGTCCGAGATCGACATTGAACTCAACGCCACCATGACTGACAACGCTATCGATTTCGACTTGCAGTACGGGATGGACGAGGCGACCCAGTTTGAAGTGCACCTGTCTGCTGCGGACTCTGCCGAGGCAGGGGAGGCCTCCCTGGACTTAGCCGTCGTGATTTCAGACGTGGAAGTTGCCAAGGTCGAATTTTCTTCAACCGACTCGACCGACGAGACGACGTTCTCCGTGCTGATCAAGGCCCCAGACAGTGGCGATACCATCGCCAGCGTGTCTGCCACCTCGAGCGCAAGCGCTGGCGAATCCCTCTCGGCTCGCGTCTATAACCCCGAGGATGGTACCGAGTTCATTACCGTCACGGGTACAAACAGCAGTGCGTCTATGAGCTTCTCGGCGGTCGTGAAGGACCCCAGTGATTCCTCCAGCACCTTGCTTGACGCGTCTGCCGGGGCAACCTACACTGGTGCTGACACGGAGGACGGAACCTTGGAGGTCACGGTAAGCGTTGGAGGTGAACAGATCGTGTTGAGCGGAACCTTGGCGGATTCTTATCGCACACAGGGCGGCTTTACGATGGACGCCTCTCTCTCGATTGCCGGTAGCACCGCAGGGCGGGTCGACGTCGATGGCACCCACGACGACACTGGCTTGACTGTCGTCGCGTTGGTTGAAATGTCCTCCGATGGCAGCTATCAGCAGATTCTCAAGCTGGACCCTCTGATTCTGGTGACGAAGAGTACAAATTACACGGTCCACGCCACCGTCCACGACAGCAGTGACACAGAGATGGGTACAGCTGGCGTGTCGCTCACCAATGAACCTACCAGTGGGCAGGCGCAAGATGTGGACATCAATCTGTTCAGCCCCATGGACTCCAGCCTCAACGCTACCATGTCCGTTTCATTGGCCAGCGGACTGCTCGACATGCTCACAGACGCAGCGGAAATTCCCTGCCTGCAGGGTTCGTGCTCCGTGGATGTGGGGCTGCACAGCCAGCACATGGATTTGGTCTTTTCGTCGATGACATCAGATGATCAGGAAGACTACCGCGCGGTTCTCGGCATGACTGCACGCGACACGCTCTATTACGCAGGGGCGTCAGTCACTGTGCAGAGCGTGAATATGATAGCAGCAGACATTCAGCTAGGCGACGGCAACTCGGCCATCGCAATCGACCAGTTCGCCATGTCATCCACTGGCACCATCAAGGACGAAAACAACGAGAAGATCATTGGATGGGATCTGAGCGCCGACGTATCAACTTCCTCTCAATCCGTGGACCTGACTGTCGACAGCGGATCCAGCCCCATCCTCGAGGTCGACATCTCCTTCTCCGAGCTCCTCTCGAGGAACTCGTCCGCGGGGGAGATCAAGCTCGAAGGCGAACGGCTGGTCAAGTGGGATGTCGTGTCGGAGACGTCGGGCACCGCGACCACCTTGGACGTGGACGTCTGGGATCCGGATGGCCAGCTTCTCACCATCGACGCCTCGCAGACCGAGGACGCCTCGGCCGGCTCGGAGGTGCTCCTCGGGAGCGCCGCGGTGCGGATGGAGAGCGGGCAGGCTCCCGAGGCCATCGGCGGCGTCCGGCTCGAGACGGTCGACGCGGCCGGGGACCGGGCGACCTTCCAGCTCCAGGTCCTCACCTCCGATCTGTCGACGCCCTTCTTCCAGCTCGACGCGGGCGTGGACTTCACGGCGGCCAGCGGGGTGCGCCTGCTCACCGACTGGGACGCCTCCGTTGAGGCGCAGATCTGGGACCCGAGCGACACCGACGCGGGAGTGATGATGACCATGTCGGTGACGGGCAGCAGCTCCGGGGGCGTGTTCACGTCTGGGATGGCGATGGAGGACAACGAAGGCAACCAGTTGATGAATTGGTCTATGGTGGGAACGAGCAGTTCCGACAGCATCACCACCCATGGGAACATCGACGGTGTCATGGGCGTTACGCTGACCCTGACGAAGCCAGACGGGCGCCTTGACACGATGACCGAGATGGCCTTGACGCTGACGATGGAGAGCATGATGGACGACGAGGACGACAACGAGATGGAAGTGACGACGACCCAGCAGGGGCAGACTTCTACATACGAGGACGGCTGGTGGGGCGAGGACGATTTGGACCTGATGGACATGGAGAGCGTATCTATCTCACTCAGTCTTGGCTACGACGGCGCACACACATGGGATGTGACTGGAAGCTTGATCCAAAACGGCGACACATATGTTTCAGTGGAGGCGCATTTGCACGAAGAATGGGTATCAGTGACCTCTTGGGCCAATGAGGAAATCGGGGATCTGCTGGGCGCGGGGTTCATGTACGAGTACGTCAACGCCAGCATACCGACTTCAGACTCCAGCGACATGTGGGAGATCAGCTACGTCCAGACCAGCGACTTCATCGAGACCACCAATCTCACCTGGCACACGGATGACAGCGCTGGAGAGTCCAGTTTATCTGTCAAGTCCTACGCGATGGAACTGGACGGAGGCGTGTGGCGGTACATCTTGTCCGTCAACGCCTCGGCAGACATGACCGGTGGGCCTACTGAGTCTCCCACGCCGGCGCCACCAGCAGCGACGCTGGTCGTCTCGGGGAGCTTCAGGGCCTCCGTGGCAGCCTCCGAGGCCGAGGACTTCATAAGCAACTCCGACGTCGTGGACTCGTTCGTGACCTCGATCGCCACGAGGGTGGGCATGCCAGAGTCGACGGTGGCGGTGACGCTCTCGGTGTACGGCGGCCGGAGGCTGGCGGCCAGAGGCGACCGGAGGATGACGGCCGAGGCCGCCGAGATCCTGGTCTCCTACACCATCACCGCACAGGTGGGCTCCTCGGGGGGGGGAGGCGTTATAAGCCAGAGCGCCTTCGACAGCATTGTGGACACCCTGGAGAGCACCACTGCCGACAACTTCGTGGCAGACTTCAACACGCAGCTTCAGGGCACTGGGTCGGCATCTACCTTCTCGGCAGTGGCGGCGGTGCCGAACTCGGAAACGGCCCCGACGACCACGGATCAGAGCCCAAGGCCGGTAAATTCTGGCGCCTACGCAGCATTCCCGCAGGCTCTACTGCTGGCTACCGTCTGCAGGCTGCTGTTCTGAGTGCGCAAGGGGGCAGGGCACCGTTTCGAGAGCGTGGCAAACGCTACCTGCATTTTCCGACCATGAGCGGACGAAGTTCAGCATGAGGTCTGGTGAGCCGTGGCATGAATCTTTACACGTGCTGGCCGCAGGTCGTACGCACAATGCACTTGGCATGTATAGATATTTCAGGCCGAGTTTTGCAAGCAGCCACAAGCGCGCCGCTCAAAGGACTGTGGAGTGGCCCCGCTGTGCATGCAAGCCCCTGCGACAAACACCGTAGCAGACTTGTGCATCATATGAGTTCTTCTTGATGTATAGATTGATGTATACATTCGCCTTCTGATGTGGCCCTCGTGACAGATGGCCGCCCTCCTTTGTGACAGATGGCTTTGATGAGGCTCCGGGCATTCGGCTGAGGTTCTGAATTGGAACTCAGGTGGGCCCACGGCCAATAGCGGGGTCGCCAAATAGTGGCAGTCTCGCCTTGGATTCTGCACAGATCAGCGCGGTGTCATCAGCATCATCGATGGCATCGTTCTCGCTTGCATCGCTTCCATCTCCCAGCGCCTGGGCAAATGGAAAAAAGAACAAATGATGAGTGTTTTTTGCACGTCTTGCAGTTAAGGTAGACGCTATGTGCACTGTGTCCACGTATGAAATCATGTCTGCACGCCACGCAGTTGATCATATCATTCGGCGACACCGTCGGCGAGGAACCGTTCCACGAAACCACGCTGGCCGACGATGAGCTCGAAACAGTGGCGATTCTTGGCGACGTCGGGGCTGATTCCCGATTTATCTGCTTCCCGGTGCCGGTACTGGTGCAGGTGTTGGCGGCACGGCATCGGATATCGGCATCGGGAGATGCTGTGGCAGCGGCGGCTGCGGTAGATGATGTCCGTATGTGACTCCCGATCCCGACGCTGATGAACTCAATGTCTGTGCGCTGCTGGGTCCATCCGAAGGGTACATGGAGACGTCGCCGTCGTAGTCACACTCCTCGGGAATGACCGCTGGACTGTTACGGCGCCGACCAAGTCGTCGTCCATCCCAGGCTGGGTGCTCGTCGTCGGTCACAGCCTTCGCCTTGGCGGAGTGCTGGCAGGACTCGATCATGTTGTTATGTCTCATGATCGTCCAAAGGGTCACGAAAATGCCGAACCCGATGGAGATCCCCAGGAACAGGATATACGTCATCAGGGATAAGTAGACGCTGTAGTCCGGCGTCGTCGTAGGCGTAGGCGCAGGCTGTCCTTTGACCTTGCCCAGGCAAGTGAACAGAACTGAGGCGAGCATGGCGGCGTTCGGCTGCCGGGTCCCGTAAGTGTGCTTGCGGGCCCCGAAAAACGACAGCAGGACGCTAGCCTCCATCGCCTTGGTCAGGGCGTCCGCAACCATGGCCCAGGTCGGTATCCAGCTGAGCCAGAGTGCGCTGTTGGGGTGCACGGCCTCCTTGATCATGGAGGCAACGATGCGGAACCGCTTGTCGGTCGACTGGCCCACATCGGATTGGATGTGCGTCACGAGACCCGTGCTGTCGCTGTAAATCTCCCCGGGGCGCTTGTCGGCGAGCGCGTCGATCTGCTTGAGCAGCTTTTTGGGGTTGTAGGCCTCGGTCAACAGCTGGTGGAACCAGGTGTTGGTTTCCGATCCTTCGAGGGTCGCGTAGCCCTCGGCTGCGAGGGTCGACTTCGCAGACTTCTTGACGGTGCCCGAGTGCCAGGCCACGGGCAGGCACAGGTCGTAGCGACCACCGACAACGTCGCGAGGGCGATGCGTAAGCCCCATCACCATGCCCCACTAGCTCTCGACCCCGTCCAAATTGGCGAACGCGGCGAGGCTGAAGCACACAGTCGTGGCAGTCTCCTGGTCGACGATGTTGCGCCAGAGCACAATCGCGAGTTTCGCGGTGGAGTGCACATAGGCGACGGTCTTGTTCGGGGTCTTCGCGTCGGCCACTGTGGCGACATTAGTTCGGCGAGCAGCGAAACTCACCGGACAGGCGATGTTCACCAGGGTGTGCATTGCCAGCCAAGGCAGCTCCCCGAGCGTGTGGCGGTAGCTCGTCACCTCGGTGGCGGTGAGCCGATCTTCGGCACCTCGGCCTCGCTGGGCCTTCAGGTCGACGTAGTCCACCTGCGCGGCGGCGGTGGCTTGGGCCACCCTAAATTCGTCGTCGAGCTTGGTGATCGTCCGCTCACAGCACTTGATGATCCCTTCGACCTGCTTGAGGTATAACTTCTTCCCCAGCGATGCGATGCTGGTCTTCCACTTGGTGGAGTTGTTGCGCTGGGCGATCAGGAAATCGCCCACGTGGGAGTGGACCACCGCGGCGAGCCCACCTTCGTCATAGAAATGGTAGGGGCCCTTCTCGAGCTTGCTCCCCACGAGGCCGTGCTCGGCGAAGACCTTCTGCGCGTGGAGATACCACTGCCTCCCAGCGTCGCGCGTCCCGTAGATCGCGCCTGCGACCATTGCGACCTCGCCAGGCTGCGTCCCCGGCGGCGGGTTCTTGGCGGGCATGCGCAGGAGCAGCAGCTTCTCAATGTTCCCCGACTGCAGGTAGGCCATCATCGCGTCGCAGGACGAGAGGCCCCAGTTCTTCTGGGCGGCGGCGGCTAGGGCGAGGTACAGAGAGCCCCTCGACCCAGTAGGCACATCCGCCCTGATCTGCTACGTGTCGTCCTGGCAGCCCTGCGCGACCAAGCGGGCCTTAATGACGTTCTGGCCCTTGCTGGTCAGCACCCAGCGCGTGCCCACCGGGCGGATGCCAAGATTGCGCCGCAGGAGCCCCTTCAGCTCCTTGGGCGGGAGTTTTTCTGCATGCGCCGAACTCCGTCCACTTGGGCCACTCAGTCTTCATGGCGGTATCCGTCTTATTTTTTTCATTGGCGCTCAGGTCGTCGTACTTGAGCACCTTGGTTGTTGGGTCGCCCGTGAGCATGGCCTCGCGGAGTCGTGTGCTTGAGTAGAGCTCATCCGCATGCACCCTGAAGTAGTTGCCCAGGTAGAGGTCGATCTTGTTCGTGTCCTTCGGCCTCTTGAAGCACCTGGGCAAATCGTCCAAAAGCTCCTTGCGCTTGGCTGCGCGTTCGCGCGGGTCGAGCTCCTGCTGGCGGTCACGTTGCAGGGCCTACCTGGCGTTGGGCCTTCGTGCCGCGCTGGTTCTCGTTGTCCAGTGGGCGCCTGGCCACTGTCTCCTGGCGCGCCTGCTCCTCCGCGATCCTTTGCCATTCTCGAATCATGTCCGATTCAGAGCTGTCGGGCTTGTCGTCGTCGACAGGGCCCTGAGGTGCAGGTTCAGGAGGTTGCTGAAGATCTGCAGGGGCTGCATCATCCTCGTGAGCAGTAGCAGGGTCGTCGGCAGTAGGAGCGGCAACAGCGCCTGAGTCCAGGGCGGGTGCCGCAGGTGGCGGCTCCGGCGGCGGCTCCGCCGGCAATGGCAGCGGCGGCTGCGCCTCGTCTCCTCCCGAAGGCTGTGGGGCTAGTCCTCCACTGCCACTGGCTCCTCCACTGGTCGTGAAATCGTCATCTCCTCGTTTTCGCCTCAGCCATTCGGCGAAATTGTGTGCGCGTCGGTTCGCTGCACTGTTCTCGATGTTGCCGAAATGGTGTGCGTGTGTGGCTGATGGCTGTTCTGGCGCTTCTGGCGCTGGTGGCGGAGGCTGCACCTCGCTGCGGGGCGCTTCTGAGGTGTGGGACCTGAGAGATCGAGGAAGGTATCCTCGGCGTCGCCTGGCGCAGGTCCACCGTGCCCTCCTCCGGGCCCAGGCGGTGGATGTCCACCGCCTCCTCCGCCGCCTCCTCCGGGATTTGGAGGCGGCGCGTCTCTTGGCGGGGCGCCTGGAGGAGGCCCTGGCGGCCGGTTGCTGCGCGGCGCGTTCAGCCTTTGGCCCCGCGGCGCGAGCTCCGATGCCGTGGCGTGGCGTAGGTGCCCACGATTGACCTTCGCGGTCGTGGAGCGATGGCTGACCCAGACTTCCGAGGCGCCCTCGAAGCCGACGATGACGCCCGGCCCATGCCACTGCAAAGTCCGCTCTCGCTTGGGCTTGCCGTTGCCCCTCCAGCAGTGCACCTGGTCGCCGGTCTGGTAGACGTCGCTGGCGTGCTGAGCTCTATCTGCCCGGGGTCGGGCCAGCAGCGCCCTCGAGAGGGATTGGTTGAAACTCAGCTGCTGGGTGGAGGTCTGGGCGGCCTTCACGATGGCGATCTTCTCCGAGAATGGCTTGTCGGACACCATGCGCTCGCGCAGGGAAAGCCTGCCGGCGTTGTCCAGCAAGCAGTAGGGGAGCCGAAGGCCTCGTCCGAGCACCCACTGCGACGGCGAGTAGCCCGTGGAATTGACTTGGCTTTTCATGGCCCAGCACACGGAGGCAATCGGCCACTGAACTTTGTGGGTGACCTCGGGCTGGTCGAACTTGATGCTGAACTGGTCGATTAACTTCCTCGCATGCACCTTCCACGGGCCTCCGCGTCGCCCCGCGGTAGCGTTTTGCTGCGGCGTAGCCGCAGAGGTGGTCATTGAGCGGCAAACCATGTCCTCCAGCTCTAAGGAAAACTCTCGCTCGAACTCGCTTCCTCCATCGAATATGGCGCGTTGAGGGGCACCGATAGGTGTGATCCAGATCTGTGGCAGTCGAGCGAATACAACTGGTGGGCGCCTCGATGCGACTGCGCCGCACATCGTGAATCCCGAGTCCAGGTCGACCGCGTTTAAGTAGACCAACTGATTTCCCGCGTAGTCGGCCAGGGTGAAGAGGTCCACTCCGATGGAGTCATTGAAGTCCCAGTCCAGTCGGATCCTTCCGGGCAGGTGTGGTAGTGGTCGTCGATGTGCAGGGCAGACCTCGCAATTAAGGTTGAGAGCCATTTCCATGGATCTCTGCGATCCGCGTGTCACGCGGATGGATCGGGCAAGCGAATCGTTGGACGGGTGCCCTGTGTTCGCGTGGAGCTGCATCACAGCGGATCTGAGCGCCCGCTCCTCCGCGGCCGTGGGAACTGGTTCCTGGGCTGCTGCAGCGGCCGGAACCGTCCTTCTGCTTGCCCTCCTTGTCGTAGGATGCGCTTCGCGTAAGGATTGGCAATTTTGTCGACGCAGTTGCGTGGCCAACACCGTCACGAGCTTGTCCGTGTAGTTATCGCTGTTCTTTGCGTCCTTGCCGCGAGCCTCTGCGTGGAGATGCGATCTGTCGCAGAACCTCCTTGGCGAGCCGTCGAATCCGTAGTGGTCCGTGATGATCCTCCACGGTTTCTTGATGTGGACTCCCGTCTTTGTCTTGAGGTCGAACGCGCAGCCGTCGAAGTCCATGATTCGAGGGAGTCGCTCCTTCAGCTGCTTGGCGATCGCGTTCTTGTTGGGGCTCCATCCGTCGCAGCATCTCGGCCATTCGAACGAGACGGCGAGTTGGGCGCCGAACTCCTTGCGCAGCCGGGGCATCGACTGCAAGAAAAGACCGAACATGACCTTGGACTTGGCCTGGTCCCTTTTGAGCCGTGGAATCTTGCTCGTGTCGATCTTGACGACAAGGCGCTGGAGCGGGGTCCACGGCTGGCAAGGGAAAGCCGCGTGAACCCTCGCGCTCTTGCCGCTGGCAAGGTTCGCCCTGGCCCTGCCCTCCAGCTTATCGACCACGAACCTTCGTGAGAGGTCGTGGCCTGGAAGACCGCATCTGCCAGCGTCTCCTCCATTCCTTCTCCAAGTAGCGCTGAGCTTGCTGTCCATTTTGCAGCGCCACTCGTAAAGCACGGTGCTGTTCGATGCAGGTGTCGGGCTGGATCTGGTAGTGGATTTGGCCAGGCTGGTGCGTGATTCCTGGCTGACCTGGCGCGGCTGGATGCCGCTCTTGCCAGTGACGAAAGCCGAACGCTTTCCTGCGATCAGCTGCGGCTTCGTCCCCTTCTTGAGCACCCTCACGCGTAGTTGCTCCTCTTCCGCGATGTTGACCTCGTTCTGGTTGGTCACCTCGGCGTCGTAGCCCGGAGTCACGGGCGTGCCGAACACGCAGTCCGAGCAGAACCCCAGGTGGCCGCAGGCCTCGTAGGCCTTCTCGCCGCAAGCGATGGAGTCCTGCAGCGGCTCGGTAGTGCACGTCGTGGGATAGGTGATCTGCGGCAGCGTTGCTAGCGTGAGGCGTGGTGCTGGAGTAGCGGTGGAGCAGCAAACCAGAGCTGAAGCCACGGCAGTCATAAGCCGCGACCCCTTCGGGCGGCGAGGCTGAAGTCGCCTTGGGACGTTCAGATCCGTCTCCGTGACGAGCTTGTTGATCGTGTCGATCAGCGTGTCTGTCCTAGTCGTAGTATTGACCGTCGGCTCGTGGCGCGTCCCAGGTCGGTTGGCTGGCTTGCTGGATCGCTCCATGCCAGCGTCCTTGATGGCCCGCCAATCCTCTGGCTGCAGCTTGATCGCGGCGTGGCCCGCGCTACTCGTGATGAGCTTCTGGGTTGAGTTCCAGATGCGGATCTGGCCCTTCCAAAGAGAGATGTCGATCTTGGAAGGCAAGATGAAATCCCGGCCGTTGAAAAGGCCGAGCGTAGGGCTGTCCACGACGCTGAAGACGATGCGGCCAGCCTGACCGCAGAGTACAAGCGGCGCGGTGACGTGCATCTTGCTCGGGGGGGTGCCCCCGTTGCCGAACCTGTAGACCTCGTCCTCAGGCTCTTCGAGGATCTGGTCGCCAAGGCCCATCTTGGCGAGGATGTCCTTGTAGTTCTCGTACCACTTCATGCCCGAGATGCAAAAGAGGCAGGCCGCGTCCATCACGCCGATGCCCTCGTCCACGGGCTTGTCGCCATTGGTCGATACGTTGACGCTCGGCAAGTGGTGGATAAGCCGCTCTGAGACGCACGCCTCGGAAGGCGGCGTCACAGGTCCCTGCGGATGCAGGGCAATCTCTTCGTCCGCGAACTGGACCTGCTCGGTGATGAGAGCCTGGCGCTGCGGGCGGCCTCCACGGCCCCCGCGTCCTCCGCTTGTGGACTTGCCGTCTTTGGGCGCGAACTTGCGAGCGCCTGGCGTGGGGCACTACTTGTGCTCTGTCCAATGCCTGGTCTCGCGGCAGCCCCATCACTGCGACGTCCTCTTGCGCTGGTCGACCCGGCTCTGCAGCTTCGCCGGGCGACGCTCAACTTGCCGCGGCCCTCGAGGGCCTCCCGGGCCGATCTGATGGCGGCTATGGCCTCGGGAATGGCAGCGAGCTCTGCTGCGGTTGCCTCGACCTTGGCAGAGTCGTCGCTGTCGAATACCTCGGAGATGTCCACGTTGGAGGACTCGAGCTCGGCGCTGAATGCCCCGAGCTCCTGGCGATCGATGTCCTGCACATCGACCTCGCCCTCGTCGTCCTCCTCTGGTTCTTCTTCGTCGTCGTCGGGCTCGTCGACGACATTGGTGGAGCGCCCTCCACGGCTGGAGGATCCCCCGCCTCGCCAGCTGCCTTGCTGGCGCGACTGGTTGGTCCGCGACCCCAGCGGCGGGGCGCGGCGTTCCGAACTGTGGATGTCCGGGAACATCCGAACCAGCAGCCCGCGAATGCGCTGGTAGGCGCAGCGCTCGTCCAGCAGGTTGCCCACGACGCGCTCGTGGCGCTCCGCGGCGAGCCCGGCCTTGCGAAGGAGGAGCCAGCCGGCCACGTCGTCCAGCGCGTTGAGGTCCACCTCGTTCTCGCGCAACTGCTGCAGACCGGTCTCGAAGCGGATGAGCCAGTCCGTCATGCGTTCACCCCGACGTCGGTGATGCTGAGCCGATTCGAAAAACTTCTCGAGGGTCTCGACCTGGTGCACGGACTTCTGCTGACCCAGGCTCGCCTCCAGATGCTGCAAGACATTCTCGATGCCGACCTGATTCCTGTCTCTCTTCTTCTCGTCGGCGTCCTCAATATTGGGGTCGGGAGCAGGATCTAGCTGCACCTCTGTCATGGTCAGTGCTGCACTCCTGGCCGTCCCCGTCAGCCTGAGCACAAGCTTTGATGCCAAACTTTGCGTCACCGAAAGATTCTCGCTGAGCTTCCACAACTCCACCTCCTGATAGTAGTCTCTCCACTTTGAGGGATCTCCATTCCAAGTAGGTATTACCGAATGTCCAAAACTGTTGAAACTGTCCGCCACCATGATGAGGAAGAGGATGCTGGCGTCGCTGACGCTGAAGTAGGAGTTGTAGTGACTGACGTCGCTGACGCTGGCGTTGGAGATGTAGTTCGCGGCGTCGCTGACGCTGGCGTAGGACATGTAGTGTGCGGCGTTGCTGACGGTGCTGGTGTGAAGCTTATCGTAGTGGGCGTCGTTGAAGACGCGGTCCTGAGAGAAAGAGCTAAGGATGTAGCTGTCGTCGGATATGTAGGTCAGGTAGGATATGCAGTATGTGGCGGCGTCGCTGACGCTGCTGTTGGAAATGTAGTCTTTTGCGGCGTCGCTGGCACTGCTGTTGGAGATGTAGTAGCTGACGGCGTGGGCGCTGGCGTCGCAGACGCTGGCATTGGAGTTGGCAGGGTAGGCGTAGATGCTGGCGTCGGAGACGCTGGCGTTGGTGCTGGCGTCGCAGACGCTGGCGTAGGCGCTGAGCAACAGCACGAGGAAGCCGCTGGGCTTCGATTCCGTCGGACGGGTCGCAGACGCCGTCGTTGTGATATGTGCGACCCAAAGGCCGGGGCAGCGAGCACAGCTCCCAGCTACCACTGTGATATGGATCGGCTCGCAGCGCCGAGGAGACTGTTGCTGTGAGCGCGGCTCGAACAATTGGCGTAGCTCTAAGGCCAAGGGCCCTGAAATGTGTTGTAACCAATACGGCAGCGGGGGGTAAGATGGGAGCAAGCCGCGGGCGAGCGGCGGAAGCGAGGCGGAAACGGGGATTAGGAGCGAGGGAAGTGCTACTTATCACAGCTATTAGGCCGTCTTGGGGCCCTCTTGGAGGTCCCTTGGGCTGTTCTGTTGTGGTTTGGGGGGCCGTTTGGGCCGTTTTGGCGTGTCGGGAAGCCGAAGAGGCGAGTACGCCAAAATCCTTCAAAACCTAAGGACTCTCCATAGTTTTTGCCTCTTGAGGCCCTCTTGGGAGGTCTCTTGGAGGCCTCTTGGCGCGTCTTGGATGCTTCTTGGGCCATCGTGAGGCCATCTTGGGCGTCTTGGGCCGATCTTTGGGCGGCCGGGGGCCCTCGTGGGCCGTCTTGCAGACCGCTTGGGGCCCTCTTGGCCCGTCATGAGGCCCCCCTGGGCCAGACAAATTCACGCGCCACCACTTGACAAAGCCCAGGAGGCACGCGGGACGCCCCAGGGGGCACGCGCCAAACCCCAGGGGGCACGCACCAAGCCCCAGCAGATTCGAGAGCGAGGCTTGGGGGACTAGGCCCAGGACCACTCCGTGCCCAGCGGCACGGTGGCCCATCCTGACGCTTGAAGCGTAGGCACATGCCATGTGCCACACTTCCAATAAGAGCTCGACCAGGACCAGTCGTACATGAAGGACCCGACGCCTGAAAAGCCTTGGCGCGTTGGAATACTTCAATTCCTGTTCAGACAAGCGAGGAGGAGGAGGAGGAGGAGGAGGAGGAGGAGGCGGAGGCGGAGGCAGGAGAAGGAGGAGGAGGAGGAGGAGGACGAGGACGAGGACGAGGAGGAGGAGGAGGAGGCGGAGGCGGAGGCGGAGGGAGAGGAGGAGGATGATGAGGAGGAGGTTGGTGCTTCCTGCTGGCCGCTTGCTCGCACGCAGCCGCCGCCGCTCGGGGCGCCGGGCGGCCGCGCTCCGCCAGGCCGCCGCCCCCGTGTCGTCGTCGGAGTCGGCGCCGCCGCCGCCCGTCGTCGTCGTCGTCGTCGCCGCCGCCGCCGCCGCCGCCGCCGCCGCCGCCGCCGCACGTCGTCGTCGTCGTCGTCGTCGTCGTCGTCGTCGTCGTCGTCGTCGTCGTCGTCGTCGTGCGCAGGAGGGAGGCGCTGGCGGAGGCGCGGGGCCCCCGCCGAGCACGAGGCGTCGCCCCGCCATCGGCCGCGGGTCCGGCGCGGGTCGTGCGCTCGGCGCCGGCGGCGGCAGCTGCGCGTCGCTCGCCGTCGTCCAGGGTCCTCGGCTCTTCGCGTTTCCCCCCTTCGTCGTTGCTCCTCCGTCCTCTTCCTCCTCCTCCTCCTCATCCTCCTCTGTGCTCCTGTACACAGCACCGATAGTTTTTCACATTACCTGGTATGCCCTCCCCAATAGCACGCCCTTGCTCTACCGCGTGGACGTCTTGCGAACTGCTTGCTGACAAGGATCGGCATGCACGAGGACAACCACACTACTCACAGCAGGGACGATATCCACATTTCTCAACATCGCGTACAGAATGTCAAGAACTTCCAGGACTCCTACAACGACGTGAACGCGTTCGAGGAGGCCTCCTACCGCAACATCACTGAGGCCCGCGCCACTGCCCGCGCTTCGCTCCGACTGGCAGCTTCCCCGCACGGCGGCCGCTAGCGGGCGTGCGCGCGGCAAGGAGCCGATCCGCCCTCATTGATTCGTTCGCTTCTCCTCCTCCTCCTCCTCCTCCTCCTCCTCCTCCTCCTCCTCTTACGTTAGAGGTGCTGACCTCCAGGACACAAGCCAGCGGCAATGCCGGCAGTCTTGCTTCACTCCACAGTCGTACACCATAGAGGCATCGTCCTCCAGGACACAGACCGGCGGTTAGGCCGGCGGTCCTGCTTCCACTCAACGTTCATACACCAGAGGCACTGATCTCCAGGACATAGCCCGGCGCAATGCCGGCGGTCCTGCTTTCATTCCACGCTCGCACACCAGAGGTATCGACCTCTCGGACAGCCCAGCGGCAATTCCGGCGGTCCTGCCTCCACTCCACACTCGCACAACAGAGGTATAGACACCCAGCTGAAATGTTGGCGGTCCCGCCTTTGTTTTACCCTTCGAATGCGGCTCAAGGCTCAAGGATTTGCCTCGACAGTTTTTGTCAAAGCGTCTCTTTCTTTTCCTGAGGTGGGCCAGGTGGCCATCGCCGCCGAGACCACCGCGGCGCTGTCGGCAGGCCTGGCGATGCTGCTCCTCGACCGGGCCAGGCCCCGCGCGCCCCCGGGCGTGGCCGCGGAGGCCGCCCCCGAGGCCACCTTCGGGGCCCTGAGCCTGCCCACCGCGGCCGCCAAGGATCCTCCTCCTCCTCCTCCTCCTCCTGCTCCTCCTGTTCGGGCTGTTCCCTTAGCCTTCAACCACCCCCCCAATGCAGCCACTACCACGGGCGGACGTTCTGTGTTCTGGGTGCGCCCACAAGGCGCCACTACCACGGGCGGACGTGTGTCCTCCCAAGATCGCGAGCTTGGCAGGGAGCAGTGCCTTCTTGTCACCCCGTTGGTTGGCTAGTTCCCCCTGTCACCCTTTTTGTGGTGGTCCTCCTCCCCTTCCTCCGTCCCCCTCCCCCTTGCGTGTTTCCTCCCCCTCGCTTGGTTCCCCCCCGGCCCCCCCCGGTCTTAGAGGCACCAGTGCCAAGTCGGAGCAACAGGTCCAAGCCAACTTCTCCGAGGCCGTCGCAGCTGCGCGCGCCAGGCTTCCTTCGGCAGGGGGGGCCTCTGCCGCCGCTTCCGAAGCGGCGCGCGCCAGGCTCCCCTCGGGAGTGGGGGGGGGGCTCTGCTGGCGCGCCCCAGCCTCAGCCCCAGCCTGCTGGCGCGCCCGTGGCACCGGTGCTCCTGCCACCGGCTGCGGTCCTGCCTGCAATGCAGGTCCAGGTACGGGACAACCCGAGTTTTAACAAGCTCGAGAAGGAGAATGCCATTATTTGTTCGAGAATCTCTGAGCGGGGCCCACGGGCCCGGGGTTTCATGCGAGGACAGACTGGACTGCGCGACCTGGTCGCCCTGGCGGAGGCCCACAGTGCAGGCACGAGATTCAAGGAGGCCCAAGCGGGGCTCAGCAAAGATCCATGGAAGCTGGTTGCGACGCCCGCAAGGCCCACGAAACGATCAGCAACGATCTCTTCGGGCGGCGAGTGTCTGCCCGCGAAATGCCTGGCGGGCGGCGGGCATCGCGGAGAACGCGCAGGACCCTGTCGCTGGTTTCTGCTCTGCTCTCTGGCACCTGAAGCCTGGCGACCTGGAAGTGATCTCGCTCCTCCTGCTCCCGCGGCGCAAGTTCCAGTGCCCGAGCGAGAAGACCCTCGCCGGGCTGGGCGCGCTTCTCTCGCAGCTCAGCGACCCGCGGGCCATCCTGGGCGACTGGGGCGCCCGGCCCGACGCGCGGGCGGGAGTGGGCCTGAAGCGGCTCGAGACGCTCCAAGGCGAGACCATCCTCCCCGCGAGCTGCACCTGCGCGCGCAACAGGGGCGGCGGCGGCAGCTTGATCGACGATTCGGTGGTCGAGGTTGGCGCGGCGGGCCGCTGCAAGTTGCGGGCAGCGATGGAGGTGCCGTGGAAGGGCCCACTCTCGCCCCGGCGGAGGGCAAGAAGCGCCGGTGGCAAAGGAAGCTCTCCATCGCCATGGAGTTGCCGACGGTGCCCCGTCTGTCCAAGGCGCTCGACCCCAACGGCCCGCGCCGGAAGGTTCTGTTATCCGTAAGGGCTTCGCCCCATGCCGCCGGCCCCCTGTCTCGGGCCGGCGGCATGGGGCGAAGCAAAAGCAAAATCATGAGATCTGGGCGCCGCCGTGAAGCAGTGTCGGGACCTGTTTGTTCTTCGACCCTGACCCTACGGATATGAATCCCCCATGTTTTTGGACCCTGACCCGGCCGATCGGCGTGAGGGGTGCTACTGGATTTCAGAAATGTGGCAAATCCCCCATGTTTTTGGACCCTGACCCCGCCGATCTGCGTGTTACCGAATTTCAGAAATGTGGCAAATCCCGTGTGTTTTTGGACCCTGACCCCGCCGATCTGCGTGTGGGGTGCTACCGGATTTTGTTTTAATGTGGCAAATCCTTTGTGTTTTTGGATCCTGACCCCGCCGATCTGTGCCACCGAATTTCAGTTTTTGGACCCTGACCCCGCCGATCTGCTTGTGGGGTGCCACCGAATTTCAGAAATGTGGCAAATCCCTTGTGTTTTTGGACCCTCACCCCGCCGATCTGCGTGAGAGGTGTCAATGTTTACCCACCCCAGCAAGTCAGACAACACGCTCAGGGCGTGGTAAAAATGCCCGTTTTGGGCCTCCCCCCCTCGCGCGGTCCATTAACAAGGAACAGTAAGCAGCAAGAAGTCAACAAGGAACAGTAAGCAGCAAGAAGTAGAACTGTAACAGTGGAAACTGGAAGCTGCAACTGGTAGAGGACACTGCGAAGCTTCGTCCTACAGCCTGGTGGCCCCACAAGGGGGCCGGCGGATTCGAGCAGCGCGCGATCGACGGCGAGCTGAAACGGGGGCGGCGTTGCAGAGCGCCTTCGACTAGCGCTACGACGGCGTCGAGGACATGGGCGCCCAGGGGGTACTCAACGCAGTGCCTTTCGCCATCTCCCCTGAGACTTGGCGGAGGGCGCGCGTTGGCTCCCCGCGCGAGGAGGAGGTTTCCCTCGCCCCCGCCGGCGCTTCACGCGGCTACGACAGACTCGCGCGGTCTGGATCAAGGCGGAGGGGGCGCCCAGCAGCAGGCCAATGCGCCCGCGCTTGGTGCAGCGCCGCCCCGTTCGCGAACGAACGGACGAGTACCACCTCGTCCTGCGCCGTGAGCCCGTGCGCCCGCAAGCCGCGCAGCTACCCGAGGTAGGCGGTCAGGTGCTGGGTCGCCACCGCGGGGGCCGCCGTCGGCGAGAAGCTTACCTGCGCCGGGTCGGCGCTGAGCCCTTCTGCCGCCGCTCCGCCGCGCACGAATGGCAGGAGCGCCCCGAGGCACTGCATCTGCGGCACGACCTTCCCTGCCGAGGACGCTGGGAACTGCAGACCCCAAGGGTTCCAGACCTGCGTCTTCACCGCGTTTACCCGGAGGCCGACTCGGCCGAAGGCGGCGGGGGCGGCGGCGCACGCTGCCTCCGACGCCGCTGGCGTGGCCTTGAGGTAGCTGTCGTCCAGGTAGGCCAGCCGGCGCGCTTCGGAGTCGACGGCGCCCGCCGCCTCGAGGGCGAGGTACGCGTCCTCCTCCTCGCCGACAGGCTATGCACCCCACAGCGCTGGAGGTTGGCGCCTGAGAGGAGTCCAGAACCGCAAGCCCGAGCACGAGCCCAGGGCCGCCCAGGCCCGAGCCCGGGCCCGAGCCCGAGCCCGAGCCCGAGCTCGAGCCCGAGCCCGAGCCCGAGCCCGAGCTTGGGACCGAGCCCGACGGTGCGCTGCCTGGGCCCCATTTGTCGTGGGTGCGGGGCGGGCGTCGCGGCCGCGAGCCCGCCGTGCCAGGCACCTCGCGGGGCACTGCCTCGGGCTCTGCAGGGCTCGCCTGCGTGCTTCGCCTCTCCGCGCCGGCGCACCGGCTGCGTGCCCCAGGAGGAGGAGGAGGAGGAGGAAGAGGAGGAGGAGGAAGAGGAGGAGGAGGAGGAGGAGGAGAAACAAGAAGAAGAGGGAATCAACTCAGAATTCCGACGCTCCGACAAGACGGGGGCGGCGGGTTCTTGGCCGCTTTCGGCCTCCAGGGGCCCTCGCCGAGCCTCGGAGTGTCCGTCAGGAAAACGGCTCGGAACGAAGAGCTGGCCCCGTGGAAGTGGTCCAGGCCTCGAGGACCCACGCGTAGAGAAAATTGGAGCAGCTGGATGTCTGGGAGTGTCAGTGGGTTCCCCATGCTTCGGACTTGTGGGAATCCCATGGCCAGACTGCTGCACTGGCTGCAATGTCCTCCTCGGCGGCGCCCGGCCTTGGCGGCGAGGCGTCTGCGGGTCGCCTGTGCTGGCGCATCCGCAGAAACGGGCCACGCTGGTGGTTTGCAGGGCCTCCTCCTTCTCCGCCTCCTCCTATTCGTCCTCCCTCCTCCTCTTCGTCCTCCCTCCTCATCATCCTCTTCTTCCTCCCTGCTCCTTGTCGTCCCCCTCCTCCTCCTCCTCGTCATCCTCCTCCTCCTCCTCCTCGTCTCCTCCTCCTCCTCCTCCTCCTCCTCCTCCTCCTCCTCGGCTCGGCGCGCTGCCTTGGCTCGGCCTGGCAGCCCAGCGGCCTCGGTGGTGTGGCGGGCGAGGTGCTCCCGCGGGTGAGGCTCCTGCCGCCTGGCGCCCCGCATCGTTCGGTTCGGGGGGGGGGGGCGCGGTAGGGAACGTCTGGTTAGCATGATGACAGCCCAGAGATCCAACGTATTAAAAAATCAAGACGGAGGTTTTTCGCACATTTCGGCCTCTGGGGGCCCTCGCCGGGCCTTGTGGCCGTGAAAAAACGACTCAGGATGCAAAACCGGTCTTGGGGAATGGGTCGAGATTTCCAGGGACCCCGTATGGAAAAAATCACGACATCGGATCTTTGGGAACGCGTTTGACAACCAAGCGACCCACTCTCCCTTTTCGCCGCCGTCCTTCTCCCCTTCCTCCCTGGATGGTGACGTCTACCTGGCCGGCCAATTTGCAGCCCTGCCGTCATCGAGTCACGTGTGGGCGCGGCTATAGCCCCATGATGGGAAGCCGATTTGACGCTCAATCGAACTTGTCTTGTCCCTGGGCAGGCACCGGATGCTTGTTCACGGCGGCGTTCGACGGAGAAAAAGGCATGATGACAACGCATTGGGGGGGGGGGGCGAGGGGCGACTTTTGTAAGTCTGCCCAGGCGTGCAGTTTTATGTTTCGAGCGTGCCCGACGACGCAGACCGCAGCGATGGCGATGGCGATCACGACCACGGCGACGAGGAAATCGAACATGAGGGTGACGGCGACGACGGCACTGAGCGCGGCGCTGAAGATGCCGGCGATGATGGGTGACTGGGCTGCTGGCGGCGATGACGACGGCGGCGGAGATGACGCCTGTCCTGGACTCAGCGCGTGTACAGCGCAAAATGCGTGCTGCTAGCACGGCCTTCCGTGGGGCCTGTGAGGCAAATGGCTGCGGAGGTGGGGAAGCGCTGCTGCAAGCCCTTCTCTCCCGCCTGTGCTTCGCTGCCTATGCAGCTATCTTGCGCGAAACTGAATTCAGACCGGCTCTGGCCTGCCACGCCTCGGGGCGACACGCTGATCGACCACTTCCCGATTCCCAGGCGTCCGCGTCCCGAGCCTTTCCACTGCCTCCCGCCCCGCGGAGCGGAGCGGCACGTTACGGTCAAGAGCTTTTCGCTAGCGTGTCCCTCCGCCAGTTCTGGCACCCCTGCGCTTCGTCGCGGCACGCCACCCACGTCCCCATTTCGAAGCGTCCACGTCCCGAGCTGCTCCCAGCCTCCCGCCACGCGGAGCGGAGCGACACGCTGTCCCCTTGCAAGGCGTATCAGTGTCGCCTGATGGGCGTGTTTTCCTCCACCACCACCACCACAAGTTGGAGGGGGGGACCTCCTCCTCCTCCTCCTCCTCCTCCTCCTCCTCCTCCTCCTCCTCCTCCTCCTCCTCCTCCTCCTCCTCCTCCCTCCTCCTCCTCCTCCTCCTCCCCCTTCCCTCCTCCAACTTATGATGGTGGTGGTGGTGGAAAACAGGCTCATCATCGCCGGGGCCGCCGCCGCGACACGCTGATCAAAAGTTCCCGACCGTATGCTCAGGGGCGGATGCATCGACCCCCAGTCGCCCATGCAACGCCGATCAGGGCCTGATCGCCCGCCCCGCCCAGGGACGTGCAGTCTCGCCATTGAGGGCCTGTCGCCGATCTGTCGGCGATGCATCGCGGAGTCGAGCTTGATGTCTCCCAGCCCGGAGATGGTTCCCTGGTGGCTTTCTGGTCGTAGCTCGGGCCTCTGGCGCCGTTCGGGGCGATCTGGGCACCCAGAGCGCCGCACGCGGCGAGGCATGGCCGCTGGAAAGCATCCCGGGGCTGAAGCGCCGCCGGAAGCCAACGAACGCGTCCGAGAACCTCAAGCCTCGAACACAGCGCTGCCCCGCAGGCGAGGGCGTGGGCCTGCACGAGGTGCGTTCGTGCAGCCAGGAGGGGCCCCGGCCCCTCGCTTCCCCCCGCCCCCGGCCCCGCCGCCCCCCTGGCGGCCCAGAAGCACAACGGCGTCCAGCAGCGCCGCGGAGAGCGACCACGCGGATGCTGAGGATCCGGCCTTGCCGACGGGGGAGGAGAAGGAGGAGGAGGAGGAGGAGGAGGAGGAGGAGGAGGAGGAGGAGGAGGGGGAGGAAGAGGAGAAGCACAATCACAGGAGGAGGAGGAGGAGGAGGAGGAGGAGGAGGAGGAGGAGGGGGAGGAGGAGGAGGAGGAGAGGAGGAGGAGGAGGAGGAGGAGGAGGAGCAGGAGCAGGAGGAGGAGGAGCAGAAGGAGGAGGATGAGGATGAGGAGAAGGAGGAGGAGGAGGTGGAGCAGGAGGAGGAATTAATGGCGAGGAGGAGGAGGAGGAGGAATTCACGACGAAAGGATTTTCGGCTTCTGGGGGCCTTCG